AACGCGCCATTAGCAAGGTCGAAGCGTCCACAAGGTACGCGGGTCATCGGTCTAGTGGCTATACCCACGGGGATCAAGTCAAACGTGTAAAGGTCACGTCCGCGAGTCGTGGTGTCAGTGGAGGTGTCCACAAGAAGCGGGCTATGAGTTCAGGGGTCGTGCCTAGAGAACACCAGTCACTAGTCCAGTGGAGGTGTCAACGAGAAGTGGGCTATGAGTTCAGGGGGTCGTGCCTGGAGAACACCAGTCACCAATCCAGTGGAGGTGTCAACGAGAAGTGGGCTATGAGTTCAGGGGGTCGTGCCTGGAGAACAACCAGTCACTAGTCCGTGGAGGTGCCAGGAGAGCGGGCTATGAGTTCAGGGGTCGTGCCTAGAGAACACCAGTCACTAGTCCAGTGGAGGTGTCCACGAGAAGCGGGCTATGAGTTCAGGGGTCGTGCCTAGAGAACACCAGTCACTAGTCCAGTGGAGGTGTCCACAAGTGGGCTATGAGTTCAGGGGTCGTGCCTAGAGAACACCAGTCACCAATCCAGTGGAGGTGTCAACGAGAAGTGGGCTATAAGCTCAGGGGTCGTGCCTGGAGAACACCAGTCACTAGTCCAGTGGAGGTGTCAACGAGAAGCGGGCTATGAGTTCAGGGGTCGTGCCTGGAGAACACCAGTCACTAGTCCAGTGGAGGTGTCAACGAGAAGTGGGCTATGAGCTCAGGGATCGTGCCTGGAGAACACCAGTCACTAGTCCAGTGGAGGTGTCCACGAGAAGCGGGCTATGAGTTCAGGGGTCGTGCCTGGAGAACACCAGTCACCAATCCAGTGGAGGTGTCAACGAGAAGTGGGCTATGAGCTCAGGGGTCGTGCCTGGAGAACACCAGTCACTAGTCCAGTGGAGGTGTCCACGAGAAGCGGGCTATGAGTTCAGGGGTCGTGCCTGGAGAACACCAGTCACTAGTCCAGTGGAGGTGTCAACGAGAAGTGGGCTATGAGCTCAGGGGTCATGCCTGGAGAACACCAGTCACTAGTCCAGTGGAGGTGTCCACGAGAAGCGGGCAATGAGTTCAGGGGTCGTGCCTGGAGAACACCAGTTACTAGTCCAGTGGAGGTGTCCACGAGAAGCGGGCTATGAGTTCAGGGGTCGTGCCTGGAGAACACCAGTTACTAGTCCAGTGGAGGTGTCCACGAGAAGTGGGCTATGAGTTCAGGGGTCGTGCCTGGAGAATACCAGTTACTAGTCCAGTGGAGGTGTCAACGAGAAGTGGGCTATGAGTTCAGGGGTCGTGCCTGGAGAACACCAGTTACTAGTCCAGTGGAGGTGTCAACGAGAAGTGGGCTATGAGTTCAGGGGTCGTGCCTGGAGAACACCAGTTACTAGTCCAGTGGAGGTGTCAACGAGAAGTGGGCTATGAGTTCAGGGGTCGTGCCTGGAGAACACCAGTCACCAATCCAGTGGAGGTGTCCACAAGCGGGCTATGAGTTCAGGGGTCGTGCCTGGAGAACACCAGTCACCAATCCAGTGGAGGTGTCCACAAGCGGGCTATGAGTTCAGGGGTCGTGTCTAGAGAACACGAGTCACCAGTCCAGTGGAGGTGTCCAGGAGAAGCGGGCTATGAGTTCAGGGGTCGTGCCTGGAGAACACGAGTCACCAGTCCAGTGGAGGTGTCCAGGAGAAGTGGGCTATGAGCTCAGGGGTCGTGTCTAGAGAACACGAGTCACCAGTCCAGTGGAGGTGTCCAGGAGAAGCGGGCTATGAGTTCAGGGGTCGTGCCTGGAGAACACCAGTCACCAATCCAGTGGAGGTGTCAACGAGAAGTGGGCTATGAGCTCAGGGGTCGTGCCTAGAGAACACCAGTCACTAGTCCAGTGGAGGTGTCAACGAGAAGTGGGCTATGAGCTCAGGGGTCGTGTCTAGAGAACACGAGTCACCAGTCCAGTGGAGGTGTCCAGGAGAAGCGGGCTATGAGTTCAGGGGTCGTGCCTGGAGAACACCAGTCACTAGTCCAGTGGAGGTGTCAACGAGAAGTGGGCTATGAGTTCAGGGGTCGTGCCTGGAGAACACCAGTCACTAGTCCAGTGGAGGTGTCCAGGAGAAGCGGGCTATGAGTTCAGGGGTCGTGCCTGGAGAACACCAGTCACCAGTCCAGTGGAGGTGTCCACGAGAAGCGGGCTATGAGTTCAGGGGTCGTGCCTGGAGAACACCAGTCACCAATCCAGTGGAGGTGTCCACAAGTGGGCTATGAGTTCAGGGGTCGTGCCTAGAGAACACCAGTCACCAGTCCAGTGGAGGTGTCCACAAGTGGGCTATGAGTTCAGGGGTCGTGCCTAGAGAACACCAGTCACCAGTCCAGTGGAGGTGTCCACAAGTGGGCTATGAGTTCAGGGGTCGTGCCTAGAGAACACCAGTCACCAGTCCAGTGGAGGTGTCCACAAGTGGGCTATGAGTTCAGGGGTCGTGCCTAGAGAACACCAGTCACCAGTCCAGTGGAGGTGTCCACAAGTGGGCTATGAGTTCAGGGGTCGTGTCTAGAGAACACGAGTCACCAGTCCAGTGGAGGTGTCCAGGAGAAGCGGGCTAT